TATCACCCCGTTAAACATTATAATTAGCGATATTCCAAAAGAAAAAAACCAATTTGTAATCAATCAAACATTTCGAAAACATTATTGAAGAATTTTGAAGAAAAAATCAATCACCAAGCGTTTACTAACCTTCTCAGTTCTTCTCCTGACATTTTCAAAGTTCCCATCAGAGGGGAGGGATTCCCCTTCTGAGAAGCATTGGTTCAGAGCATTATAACTAATAGTGAGATGACATTATCCTTCAGAAATTTTGTTTTGTTGTGGGAGAGTTACGCCATTTTTGTTGATCACTTCGATGCATCTCTGCCCAGATATTCATTCATTTCATCAGTTGCAAACGAGTTATTCCACTCGATGGTATTCGATTGTCCACTAAAACTCAAAGTTTTGACGATTCTTATTCAGTGTAAACAATTTCCAACAATTGATCTCAATTTATCGACATAATTTAAATTTGAGACTTCACCCAACTAATAAAACGCATTCTCGTTTACTTAGCATCGGAAAATCTACCAGTTTTTCTTAGTTTTTTAAGAGATATCGTCGTCTCGAAGCACTTCTCGATTTAATTTACGATATTGATGGTTTACTGACTAAGACAAGCCTAATGAAAAGGACCGCTTTCGAAAACAGTTCATTGCGCATTTCAATGAATCATTGTTATGCGTTTGGTGTTGTTACGAAAGAATCGTCCACATAAAAGAAAAGTATTTGTGTGGATACACTTTGTGAAAAAACAACGCATTTTGGTTTGTAAAATAACAATCCAGATTCGTAGATGGATGATATTCGATATGTACGCATCCTATCGATGATATTTTACANGAATAGGTAGAGGTATTATCTATCTATGCGATGTTAACGTGTTGTGCGTTGATATTGAGTCGTCGTAGTGTTCCCACGACAACGCGTACAAATATATGGATGGGTATGGTTGTCTGTCATGTTACAAGCAAATGTCTTCATGAATGCTGCTAGATATGTAGATAGGAACGAGTGTGGTTGTGATTTGAGAATAAAGCGGTTATGGATTAGGAATGTTAATCATCTCAATAGGAATTTATAGCGGTTGTAATCGTATTCATTTTAGCAATAAGAAACATTTTGGTAATTAGTTAGTAAGTGAATACAACAGTAATAGCGAATATTTTCAGTTGAGTAACACTCGGCCTTTATCAGCGTCTCATTCGCTTTTGCTGTCTGAATCGCAAATGTTGCACCGGTCACCATCTGGTGCGCAGAAGAAAATACGTCAACGTCAAGAAAAACGGTTTGATCGTTTTTATTCATTTGATTTTATCCAAAGTATAGTCATTTTTCAGTTTTATTTCTTCACTTCATCAATTCCATTTATCTATTCATTAACAGTGGTTATTTGATTCTATCTTCAATATTATTTAATATTCAGTCGATTTATTTTTAATTCCTTCCTTGACTTTGCCTGTCCACATCTTTATTTATTTACTTATGAATGGTATCATTCGCTTCAGTTCCTTTCTTTTCTTCTTGAAAAACTTTTATTTGTCATTAAACGGGCAGTCATTATGGCCACTTGCATCCACCTTTATCGTGATGTAATAATGATTGCTGGAATGATGCTTTATCATCTGTTGCCTACAAACAGTTTTTTTCATTCGCTGTGAGCTTCATTCAAGCATCCAAAGTGATGCATTCCTTAGAATGATAATCTCAATGCTACCAATGAACGGAGTTTATGCTCTCGGTGTAATCAGCGTTTTGACGTGACGACGGAAGGAATAACTTCAAAATTGCACGTTGTGTTTGTTCCGTTCACAATCACGTCAATGAGAATTTTTTTGGTTGATTCAGATTGAATGTCTCATTCGCTGGAATTTCGTCATCGAAAAGAAATTGCTGAACGCTTATTGATTTTTAATGTATGTCTTATCACATCACTTCATGCTTCAATGGTACTGATTAGGGATCGTTTAGTTTAGAAGTTTGTGCGCTTATTTAGATAAGCAAGCGTTCAAGTGACGAGTGTTCACCCGTTCTCCTGAACAGTTTTTTTTTGGTCGAGTTTTGAAGTGTTTATTTTGTATGAATGGGTGTGTTTGTGTTGCTTTTTGTGTGCATTTTGGAATGTTGAATGATAATAATGATAATGACGGCAATAGGAATTTTTGTTTATTTGATATGATTGAATTACGAAATTTTATTCACGAAGTGCACTTTGTATTCTGAACGCAATATTTTTGGCCAGATTACATTTTCTATCCAAACTACAAACAATCATAAAACGATTATTTTTTTTAATCGAAACGACGAAATCCTCTTTAATGATCACATTTTTAACAGATGTTTATTATTTATTTATTTATTCAGTGTGCTCTTAATGAAACCTGCGCATCTGTTCGACACACACAATTTAATCTCTATCATCTGTCGGTTCGGAAACGAATTTTTTGTTCCTTGAAAAAGCATATGGATGAATTTTGAGCGAGAAGCATTTCTTGACAGTTTTTCTGGTGGGTGTTGAATGTGTTAAGATGAAGCAAAGGAACACTTTAGAAGTGTTCCAGTTTTGGTTAGCATCATATTTTCGAGAAGAAAACCATTGGAAATACACCATTCTACGAAACAGTTGAAAATATCGAGAAAAGGATGTAACATAAGAACGAAATCTGAATGATACAAAATTATGTGCATTTTTATGCACATAAAACGAAATGCTGATACATCTTTTTATTTTCGATGCATCTTGTAATGAATTTTCAAATAATTCCGGCTATGTGCTGCAAGCGGGCGGATCTCATTCAATTAGAAATTGCGCTCTGCAAGAATGCAATCTTATGAATAATGGTTTCATTGTGAGGCACGAAAAAGTTTTGCAATTGGTAGTAACAATACAATTTGCCTATGAAATGAGATTCTCTCCAACAAAACAAGTATGACAAGTTCAGAACACATTACTGTTGCATTTTTTGCCTCATCATTCAAACAATGTTTTCAAATTTGTAATCGATTGTATTTCGATACAAAGGAAATTGGAATTTTTTCGATGATATTACATGTGAATGTGTTCGTTTTTTTTTTCTAAATCTGAACTTCTCATTGCTAATCCGAAAATATTCTGAATGATTTTACGTTTTCTCGTTTCGTTTTCAAATGTGAAATGGCGTTTGAAAAGTTAATTGAATGGACGATTTGTTTGATATTTAACAATATTCCATCTTTTATGGTTTTATATTTGGAAATTCCACTCTTGTTTTTATAATTAACACATTTTCACCTCTATATCCGTGCATACCTGATTTGCACTGTTCCGTTCCAAAAGCATTCGACTAGTCACCGCGTTGATATTGCTAATCACTGCTACAATTTATTACTAGTCAAACATCAGTGAATGCAGGTAGTGTGAACATAATTAGTTCTTTTTCAGTGGGATTTTTGTGCTCTTTTTGATCTGACGGGTAGTTTGCATTGAACAAAAAATGAAAAACTGGATGTTGATTAAAGAACGAGAGTAATATTTTACTGCTGACGATCCTGTAGTCTCATTATGCGAATGAATCTCAAGCTGCGTTTCCGAGGCAGCTGTGAGTTGTGCACGTTTTGGGGAAATGTAACGATTGGAATGAATTTTGTAGCCTCTCTCATTGTTGAACATTTACGCTGAATTGCAAGACGAGATAGAGGAGGAGAGTACGCTCACGTTTTCGATTTCTGTATTTGAATTGCTTCTGCAAAATCCACAAACTCAGTTCACCAACATATCATTTGCTAGATTTTATTTCTCTGAATATTTTATAATAATCTGAAAAATTCTCAGCACTAGTTTTGACAAAATTGAGAAGTTGATGAGTTTTCAAATTTCGAATCTGAAATTTGTTGAGTCACCGTTTCCCTTCCCCACCTCCTTCATCGAAATTTTTTCGCCTCTTTCGTTGGCAGTTGTTCATCGTCGAAATCTGCTCAATGGCTATTGTGCACATATTTACATTTGTTGTGAACAGTGCACCACGTTGTCAGTTTCATATCCCTTCTCGTCTCATCTGAAAAATTTTGTGTATTTGTTTTATTGGAATGTGATTTAATTTGATCACTCATACAATACATCGCTTCGCCATACAACATCTCGACCCTTGACCCGTAATGTGCGAGGAATGTGTGGAATTTCTATGCGTATGCAGCAGCAGCACGACTCAATGCATTCGTCCACGTTGCGTTGTCTTCAGTATCCAATCTTCGTTTATCACCCTTCTTCGAGGTCATTTTTCGCAGCCATAATTCCTTTCATTAAAATATCTCTTCTACCTCCACTCCTCCATTCATCACATCTTATCAAATCACAATTCCTCATCTAATTTTTTCCCATGCAAACCTCTCTCTATCTCTAAACTTGAATTCAATTCTATCATCTTTCATCAATACATTCAATGAAATACAAACAACAAATATTATAAATTGCAACACGCATTCCACCAGCTAAACTGGTTTCATAATAGAAATTCGTTTGATTTATCCACTTGCTCAGAACTCAATTCAATTATTTGTCTCGGAACTTTCTAAAAATTTCACTTCAAGCAACTTCAATCAATGTGTACAATAGATCACGTCGCATCACACACTCACTCGAGCAAATCCATTTGTTGTGGATCCATTGGATTTTGCAAACAATTTTTTCTTCTAATGAAACAGCGAAAAAGGTTCCTTTGTTGACGTTCAGAGTTTCAAGAAGATGTCACACACCAACAGATGTGTATCGTTACTTTTCTTTCAACGTCTCATCCACAAAATATTCATTTGATGAGGATTTACATTTGATTAATGGGACATTGTAAGTTGAGCGATGAATTATCGAGAAGATGCATTGTGATTGATTTGATTTTATCTTGACTACATTCATAAGTGGGATTCTGTGGAAAAAAATCGTCTCGTAACGTAGTGTTCCAGTTTGAATATTGTTCGTTTTGCTATTCACCAAATCCATATGAATGATTACATTCATCATCAATGTAATCCCCTCCTCAACGAAGTTTTCTCTCCTTCTCCGTATTACTCTCTTTTTCCTTTTCTGTTTTGTTTCACTTCTCGACGATTTTGCATTGTGCATCAACCTCAATGAATGCAAATCAAGGAAAAATAGAGAAATGAAGTTTCCTTGGAAATGCTGCGGTTTTTAGTATTGAAGCGGAGAAGCTTACGAAGTCTGATCTCAAACGAGTTAATACAAAGTCAACACTCAAATCAAACGAAATCAGTTTTCGAGTGAAATCAAGTAAATTTTTTATGAAGTAAATTTCGGATGACTGAAATTAAACGAAGTGAATGATTCAGATGGTTACAAGTGACGAATCAGTCGTCTGCGTCTGCATTGCCCGCTTCATCAGCATCACCACCCACCGCAGCAGTCACATCGAATAGCGTCGATCATCGATCAATGGCCTCTTCAGTATCAACGGCAAACACATCGTCGGTTGATTGTGAGTATCGCTCGGTGATTGATTCTGGTGCTTATCACTCCATATTACCCGATGAACCACCATTTATTGTCACGCAGTCAAAGTCTTCTAAACCGCAACCACCACAACCGCCTCCAAGACCATCACCACCCAAGTAATTTCCTTTTATTTATTCTTTGATTACGAATTTTTATTCATTTTTCATTTGATCGTTTTTGATGTTCGATTGTGTGTTCATTCTCTTTGCTTCGAACCATTTTTTGAATGATTGTTGTTTTCTCAACATTTGAATATTGAAACAATAAGATTCTTCGAATATTACTTCATTCACTTGTTATGCACAACTACTGAAACCGATCTAATTCGTTTTTTGCTTCATCCGCTCTCAATTATCACTGAAATTATCGCACCTCTATCTACTGCATTCATCAAATTCCTGCAATTTCATTAGCAAGGAAATGGCGGCAAATCGTGAAATAACCGTTATATTGAGTGTGCCGAAATTAGGTTATTCTAATGAAATGCCAATGCGCATAATGGTGAAACAAATCAATGTGTACACTATGGGATATAGGATTGTTCTTTATTGTGGTGATGGTTTTGCATTGATCACTGATCGCTGCCTTCGCCGAGTTTTGTCTGTGTTTCCGAAGTTGTTCACATTATTTTCACCTCTAAAAGAGTTTTATTTGTAAATATTCACTGACTATTCAGTACTATCAGTGTGCACATATTCATATTGTCGCGTTTACTATTTGCATCAGAAATGTGAATGGCAGTTGTGAAAAGNTTGTTGAATTCAGGGTCTCCGTATCTACGCCACCGTGGTCAATACCCTCACCAATGAGCTCACCGAATTCATCGCTGAACTCAACGACTAGTGGTGGTTATGCATCATCGATACCGGCTAATTCACTACTCAATTCAGCGTTTATCGGTTCGTTTTTGTTTTGTCTGTATTTTTCGAAAGGTTTTTGATAGTTTCATGTTGGAAATTGTTATTTTCATCATTCATATCGTCGTAACTGTTGTTTTTGGAATGTTGTTAAAGAGTTGATCTGTAGCAGAGCTAACACTGGAATGCTCGGAAAGCCAACAGTGCTAACATTAGCAGTAATAATGATAATGACTCTAGCAATTATGATGGGTAGTAAAAACTTGGCATGGTAACATGAAAATGTCACGTAAAATTACGCCGTTATAAACACAAAAATAAGAACTGATTAATTCTAATCAGTTGATTCAGGTGGTAAGCCAATGGTTGAAGTGCACCCAATGCCGTCACAACAGTTCACTGAGCCAGCTTCATTATCGGCATCATCGTCACTCAAAGATTTCCCGTCATCTTGTGAAAATCAAAATCAGAAGCCAAAGGAAAAACCTCGAGTTCCAAAGAAACCGATGAATTTGGTGCTGAATTCCTCATCAAAGCTCAACTCACCGTCTCTAAACGCTCTTTCATTAAGTTCAACCTCATTGAATATGCTCCCGTTTACACCGTTAACACCTTCACAATCTTCCACTTCAGTTAGCAGGTTTCGTTTTTAGTTCTTTCTTATTCATTCATTTATTTGTTCATTTGAAAATTGAGTATTCTTTTTGGTATTCGAGAAAATTGGTGAGTTTTATGTAACGTCATCTAATTACTCTTTAGTGAAAGTAACGCATCAAAAATTTCAGATTATTCACGACTCCATCACTAATTTGCCTTCATACAGCTTTAATGAAAACCGATCTGAACGAAGAAGAAATCGCAAAAGTTGAATCGAAACGGCAAAAGGTATGCGCGGTTTGTTTCTATTCAGCCGTAGGCGGAATAAATTTCTCAATTCTGCTGGAGTAAAATTTTCAACAGTTCGTTCCCCTCACAGTTTTATTGAGTGAGGCGCTGTATTGTATTATCGTCTATTATGAAATGTGTCATGATATGTTTTAATGAAAGTTAAGTGAATGATGAAGTGAACGTTGGTCACTACTTCAGCTAATCGAATCGTTATCGAAGAAGATCACTGTGTTGGATGAAGAACATCAATCGCTACAAACAGAAATTGAATCGAATGAGTTGTTACGAGGGAAATTGATCGAAGAACTCACGTTGAAGGGTAGCAGTGATGTGAGTGAGCGAATGCGTTTGAATCTAGATCACAATACCAAACTGATCAGGTTTGTGTTCCTATCTTTAGTTTAGTATTGTTTGTTTTTATCTTTTTCGAATTTGTATTGTTTGAATAGCAATGTCCATTCGTTTTGAACAGTAAATTATCGTATTGTTTCCCGAAAGATCTTTTCACTTCATTATTCTTTGCATAACTGAAAAGATAACAAACGAAAATAAATTATTGATAGTAATTTTGCTAGAAAAATGTCGCAAATTGTTTTCAGTGGATGTGTGAAGTATACATTTTAGAAGAAAAAAAATTTTTGTCCTCAACATTCAGATTGTTGTCATTTTTGTAATTAAAGGTTACACTCGATGAAAGCAGCTTTCAGTTGAACGGATTTGTCAATTTTAATAGGAGTTATTGTTGCTTGCAGATTGCAGACAAAGTTACGAATGCAGTTGGAACGACTGGAAAGTATGCTGAACAATAATATGGAGGGCATCGATAGGGAGGCCATATCGGCAAGAATTGAACGTGTCAAAAGTCAAATAAATGATCAGTCGAGTTTGAGGGAGGTGTTCGAAAGAAGAGACAGTCTTTTAAGCGTTATCATTGAATCACGCCTCGACGATGAGTCTGTACCTCAGTGGAGGTTCGTTTCCTTGTTATTATACGTTTAGTGCTTTGTTTATTTCAATTGAAAAATAATCGTTTCAAAGCCATGCTTTTTTCATCGAATGGGGTAAACTTTTTATTCAGTTAGTCACTGGAAACGTTCACGCAAGATTGATTGCATTGCATATATGATATGTTGATTTCGAAATTGTTTATTTTTATTTTCAATATT